AATAAACCCAGCGTCCGTTAGTCTGTCTCGCCATGTGTGTGTGTATGTGTACGTATGCGTGTGTGTGTATATGTGTGTGTATGTGTGAGTGTGTGTGTGTGTGTGTGTGTGAGTATGTGTGTGTGTTTGTGTGTGTGTGTGTGTGTGTGTGTGTGTTCATGCGTGAATAATGAATAGCAAAATGCAGAGCAGAATCGCCATCGGCCTCAACAATAGCTGCTGTAAAGTAAAAGTCGTTAGATCAAGTCAGTTATAGATCAGTAATGTTGACCTCTTTTCTAAAAAGATGTGTAAGACAGTTCTCTTAATCTCTTATCTAACTTGACATAATGCACAGTATTTACTGTACATCTTTGAGTATTGCTCTTCGAATACTCAGTGAAGGTAACGAGACAATTGTTATACTTATAACGACCCGTATACAAATGCAAATAATGGGAGATTCAAGATTCAAAAATATTATCCTACGTTCTCGGTGAACACGCCCAAGTGATAACACAAAACTAGCTATCTGTTCCAATTTGTAAGAATATGAATCGTTTCAGATTATGTTCTCCTGATAACTTGACTTGACCTGAAAATAACCGTGACTGTCATAGTTGTGTTATCTTTACCGTAAAATACGGTGACAGTTACGATTTAGATTAGCACATAGTGGGTCGCTAGGTCAAACGCGTGAAGGGAACTTACTTTTGTTTGCCTGTTGTCTGGGGAATTTTGCTTTCTTTCATTGAGAGAAGAGGAAATAAGGGTGGTTTGCGACGAAGAGGAAGGGGGGAGGAAGGTGTGTGCATGTGTGTGTGTGGGTGTGTGGGTGTGTGGGTGTGTGTGGGTGTAGTGTGTGTGTGTATGTACACTCGTGTATGTGAGTTTGTGAGTGTGTGTGCGTGCATGCGTGCTCGTGGGTGTGCGTGTGGGGGGGGGGGGGGTAGTGCAACTACTCTTTTATCTAATTTGATCTTTCTTTTTCACGCAAGGCGTTGGTCTCATTTCAAAATGTTGACCAACTAGTTGGAAACAATAATATAACTGTAAAGCTATCCTTTACCCTTAGCTGTCGCCTCAGATCCTCGTGGAGCGCAGACATTGTGTTTCCTCGAGGTCTCGTCCCTGATGCCGGTCCCAAGGTTGATGTTGTTGACAAGACATTCGTTGTCGACGACACAGGAGAAGGTGTAGTGGCGGAAGGGGATGTTGGTAGTAGTGGTAAGACACCTACAAAGACAACACTGCTGGAT